AAGAAAGCAAGAATATGATCTTGATCTGAAAACCAAGATGTTTAAATGCATAGAAAATACCTTCTTTTATAGGTCAAAATTTAAAACTATTTATTTGTTGACTAATTATTGAGTAGGTGACCATATCTTGACTTGGTGACAATCCTTATCTTTTGTTTGAACAAAATATCATTGCTAACATCATAATTTGAACAGACTGTATTTATAAAAGTTCTAGGACATTGTCTCAGCTTTCTAACAAAAAACAATTAAGGTCATTTGAACTTTTAAAACTCGAGATATATGCTGAACACTGAATAATGTCTAGGCTGCATGATCGATATTTACTTCTCTTTTGTTGCTAAGATTTGGACTTCCAAATAGCAGAATTGAGTTTTGGATTATTTATGAATGTTTTAGTCTTATGTCTTAACTTTCTAGCCATATAAACTAAACTGAAATCTAAGATCTACAACTCCAAATATGACCCTATGACTGAATATGGTTCTAGTTTGGACTAAACTAGCATCTCTTTTCTAAACTTAATCCTTTCTTTGTCTTCTCAATTTCAATAGTTAAACTCATCATCAATTAATCCTTTTATTTATTTGATAGGCCTGCATTTAGATATGTTATTATAAAACATGCTTTAGTTAAGTAGTTATTAATACTTCAAGTGCAAAATGATGATATAAAACCTTGATAAAAATAAACTTTTAAGTACTAATCAACCATTAACAATGAAGCCAAGATCCAACAACCTTGTTTTTTCTTTCTAACCAAGAGCATCAGAGGAGTGCAACTAACAATGGTAATCACACTACCCCATTTTCAGCTAACCTAGTTATAGCTAAAAAAATAAACAATAAAAAAAATAGATCTAGAGGAGAAAATACCATATTATTTATGTTTGTCTTGTTTTTTTTTTGTAGGTAGCGGTTACACTCACCATCAACACTAGGAGAAAAAAGAGTAATAGTTGGTCCATATCTAATGTTATTTTTGCTTCATTGATAGTGGAGACCATGTGCCACCACTGTTCCTACACCTTTACCTTGATTCTAGTAGCTCTTGGATATGCTAAACACCTTGGAAAATTGATTTACGAACTTCAATTATTTTTGGAAAAGTTGCTAAAATTGTGAAATTTTGGAACCAAATATTTATTGTTTTGCATAATATTTGGACACTATTGAATATCTTGTTTGATTTAAAACATAATATCATGTTTTGCCGAACGTGATTTGATTAGTACTTAAAAATGTATTTTTTATTAAGGTTTTATGTCATTATTTTGCACTTAAAGTATCAATAACTCCTTAACTAAAGCATGTTTTATAATAATATATCTAATAATATAAGATACCTTTAATTTGTGGTAAATGTTCATTTTAAATACAGGCCTATCACATAAATGAAAGGATTGATTGATGAATTTAAAAACTAAAATTGAAAGGACAAAGAGATGACCAAACTTAGACAAGAGATGCCGGTGCAATCCAAATCAGAACACTATTCGGTAATTGGGTCATATCTGGAGCTGTAGATCTCAGATTTAGGTCTACTTTATATGAATGAAAAGGTAAGACATAGGCCTACAACTTTTATATAGAATCCAAGATCTAAAAAGGCCATTTTCAAGTCCAAATTATAGCAACAACAAAGAAGTTTGAATTTGTTTTCCAACCCGAGTACTATTCAGTGTTTGACCCATATGTTTTGTATTTGTTATCTTGTTCACTCTTTAATACTTTGCTTGTTAAATGACTAATCTTGATTTATGTTGTATAACACTTGGTACAATAAATGCTTGACATTTTCATAGCGTATGTTGTATGTTATAACCGACACCTAAACTTTGAAAGGAACTTGATTTATTGTTAATATAAGTTATCATCATGAATGCTTGATGAGATTTACAAGTATTAACATTAATCGAATAAGATGACTAATGTAATCATGTTAACAATATATAATTTGATTGGAACCTCCTTTGTATGTGGTTTCCAATTGACTAATAAGAGTTTATACTATACTTGTTTGACATACCATTAGTGGATCCTTCAACCTTGACATTTGTTATTATCATTGTTTAATACTTACATTAATATTCAATCTCAAAGTTCTCATCTTTTTCTTCTTCCCCTTCTTTTTCTTTATTATTATTATTATTATTATTATTAGTATTACTACTATTATTAATAGTATTATTGTTGTTGTTGTTGTTGTTATTGTATTATTGTTATCTATAATTTATACAATTAACCTCCCTGTGGTTCGACCCCGGTTTTGCCGGGTTATTTATTACTTCGACACTCCTGCACTTGGAAGAAAACATTAATCTTTTCATCATGTCATGATTTTAGTTAAATTTTCAAAGGTTCAGATAACAATTTTGAAATTAATTTTGATTTCCCCACCTTTTTTTTACCCTCTCGTATTTAATATTTGTATTTGTGATCTAAATGCAATGCGCTTTTTCAATACTAAATGAATTAGTTCCCTTCCAAAAAAATAACAAAAAATATTTCCTTCAAAAATACAATTTCTATTTTAAATTGCATACGACAAAGTCTCTTTTTATATATATATATATATATATCTTACTTAAAGAAAATATAATATGGTGTTTTAGTATTTTCATATAAAATTCAAAAAAATATATATTTCCATGCATTTTGGATTTAATAACTAGTTTACTGAATTCATGAGAATTTGACCAATATTTCAATAACCTCTAAAATTTCAATTCATGAGAATTAATGGTTAATATTTTGGTATAAATGTTGGACCTATAAGTATGTTGATATTTAAATATCATAAACTAACTAGAAAATTCTTAAAATTATTTTAAATATTCACTAATTTTAATTGGGGGTATTTTTCACTACAACATACGAGTTGTGAAAAACCCTTCCTCCTTCCAAGATAGATGAATCATGTCAAGGCTCTTACATGAACCCTTTCCATAAGAATTCACTTGAGCACGCAAGTTCATAATAAATTCAAAATACTAGATTTATTTGCACGAACGAATCTCTACTCGAAGCCATAAACTTCACTGGTTACAAACTCATCAAACCCTTTAAACCACATTTAAACCAATACAATACACCTTACCTCAAGTAGGGTATGTTAGGGGTGCTAATACCTTTCCTAACAACAACTAGTCCCCTACTTAGAGTTGTCCACCTTATTTATTTTTTATAAAAAAACTAAAACAGATAACATATTTTCTAGAACTCTTTAGATTCTAGCTACCAATAGTCAGAAATTTAGAGTTCTTGTTTTTTTTTTAATATTAGAAATGTATTTTTGACCTTAAATACCTTATTAAATCATAAATGACCATAAAAATCTAAAAAACACATAAAAACCCAAAACCAAAACTCTTCCCTACCTTAGACCTGTAGGCAATTTTAAGGTTTAAAAACATTTAAGTGGAACCTTTCTCAAAGAATGCAACTCAGTGGTATTAAGATTGATAATTTTAAAGGATAAAATCATTGTAAATACTCATTTTCTCTCTTTAATATTATAATTCAGTGAGCTTCTCTCTCTGACCATGGACAAAAATCTAAGGAGAATGAAGTTTTGGACCAAAATTGAATCTTAGACATTCAAAACGACCTAAATTATATTATTTGTAAAGATGAAGGATCAAAATGTATTTCTTGTGTAAACTTTGGACACCACTCATTTTGACCGCCTTTTTCATTTCGATCCTCCTTTTAGTGTTTTCATTGCCTAAAAAACCATAAGCAATCAACCTTCAATTTAGAGTCAAATCGATAAAATAAAAGTTTGATAATTAAAGTGAAAAAAAATACACAATAAATCCACAATAATCTATATAAACATGTGAATAATAAAATACAAAGTTTTTTTTAAGAATTCTCTATAATATAATAATTGTTTAATGGTTTAGGATTGCAATAATGCTAACACCTCACACTACATCAAGATCAAGGTTGTTGTCAACATTAACCAACAACATCCAAAAAATACTTAAAATTTATCAATGTTACCCTTCACTAATCACATCTTTCAATTCTACCTTAATATTATCTTAGTTTTTCAATTATATCCTTCCACCTACTTTCCATCCAAATCTGCCAGCAAAATCCATTGAACAGCCACGTGGAAGCTTTAGAATTTAAAGATTAATTAAATTTATAATGATAAAAAAAGAAAGCGTTAATTTAAACTAAGTATTTTGAATCCCATTTAGTCTTAAAATGTTGAAATAATACATAAAAATTTACGGTTGAAATAATAGAAAGAAAAATTGAATCCAATTAAAACTCAAAATTGAAGAAGTTTAAATTTTAATTTTTTTTACTTTTTATTTTTTTATTTTTTTTCAATGTTTCATTACCAAAATTTGTTATAATTATCCCACTCTAAATTCAACAAAAAACTATATAAGATCTTAAAGTTTTCACTCAATGGAATTCATTTAAAAAAAAAAACAAGTAGGAGAGAAAAATTCTAAATAAAGATATTCTTATCACTAATTTTGGTGATTCTTGGATTTTTTTTATCTCATACTTGTATCAGGATCTTTCTTCAAAGATTTTTCATATGTTTTTCATATTTCAACGATTTTGGACGGAAAACAAATGGAAGGATATGATTGAAAATCCTCAATGACATTAAGGGTAAAATTGATGGATGCTAGCATTGATAGCAACCCTCCAGGTGAGGGGGTCTTTCTATGGATAATCCTATTTTTTGGACTTTTTGTGTGCATGATTTTGCAACAAGAACCACTGAACCTTCGTAGGCCTTTGAAGAGTGTAGGACCCGGTATAGGCAGCTAGGGAGGAGTCCTTTTAATGCAAGGTGGTGCTTGAACATCGATCGAGTGGCTACGAGGTAGGCCACGAAAATCCAAAATGTTTAAGGCTCCAAACTACAACCAATTCTCTTATCTTCTGAAGATGAGGTGAATCTATCATTTAGGTTTCTTGTGGTTTTTTGGCCCTTCACTCGGATATCTGAGGATAACAATCACTCTCTTTATTTATTTGGTACATATGTGCTGTGATATGAAAACCTCCAAATGCCTTCCTTTCTCTTCCTTGCGCTTTTTGCATCTTGTTTCTTGTCCTCTATTTCCTTCTCTTCCTAGTCTTTGTTTCTTCCTTAGTTTTTTCCTCTGTTTTGTCCCCTTCCGTTTAACGGCTAGCTAGGAGAGCATGTATCATTACGGCCACCACCATCGTCTTCCTTGCTTGCGTTGCCACCCACATAGCTACATTAGGATGGTAAGTTGGTGCGATCCGGCCCCTCAACCCCCAGCTCACGTAGATTTTAATTTTTATATCTTGAAGAATATTCGGACATGCATTTTGCACTATCTGGAGTACTACCTTGATTCAGATTTACTGTGCTTTTGTTTTGTACGGACATATGCATATAACAGGTTCAGCATCTGATAGAGAGATGTTTGCTCCTTCACATGAGTAGAGACCAATGCGTGAAGGCACTGGCTAAGCATGCTAGCGTTCATCCACTTGTTACACTTACAGGTCACTTGATCGATCTCACTGGTTTTCTCACGATAGTTTTGGCTTCTTTAGCTAATAAATATACTTGACTTGTATATGTATGTATTTCTTGCAGTGTGGAGAGAACTACAGAAGGAGAATAGGGACTTCTTTCATGCATATTTCCATTCAATTTCTCCAAGGCATTTCACGAGTAAGAGCAAATTATCCCCAGAACTTACATATCATTTAAAGAAATTCATTAATTGCACAAAATTATTTATATGTACGAGAATTAAGGACTGTATGCCACTGTCACGTATTCTAGATAGACGTCATGCATATACATTTACTAGTACAAAATGCTCGAAAACCATGTATCCGTTAATTTCTTGATAACTAAGCAAGCTTTAGCAGCCATAACCTTGCATCTGCAGATGTATGGCGCTAAAAATATTGCGAATTACATCAACTCGTATTTATAATTTTCAGGCAGGCGTACTCGAAGGGTGTTGAGATTAACAAGGGAAATATAAAATTAAAGTCCATGATGGGATGACTTGCAAACACTCCACGATCATCGGGAAGTACGTGGGTATAAAAGCTACATTTATGATGAATGGTAGCTAGGGTTTGGACGGTACATGCCCTCAGGCCTCAACTACAGTATTATAGTTGAATGTGATATAATTAATAGGATACAAGAAAAAAAATAAGAGGACATTTACAGAGTTGTCAACCCTGGTTATGTAATTCCTTCGGGGATAAGAGGACATTTACAGAGTTGTTAACCCTGGTTATGTAATCCTCCGGGGACTAGCTTTCCCAAAGTCTTGGATATCAATGTTTTCTTATCTTTGTTTCATTTCTTTTTGTGAAAACCATTAATATTTTTTTCTATAAATATTAAAGAATTAATCTAAATAATTAAATAGATCGAAAATAACTAGTATCACTACTAAAAAATAAAGCTATTAGCAATTATTTAATTCATTGCAAATAAAACTTAAATTCATTTTTGAAAACATTTAGCAATGTAATCAACAACAAACAATATTAGATGCAAATTTACCATTGTTGATTTATCGGTAATGCATTTTTTCGTTGCTAATATAAGAACAACGAAAAATCCATTGTTTACAAATAAGAACAGAAAATCCATTGTTAATTAAATGCAAAATGCGCCCGTTATAGTGAATCATCAATGAATTTTTCATTGCTGATTTATAAACTAATTACAATCAACGATGAAAAATTTATTGTTGATTATATGATTTTCTTAATAATCTATATGCTTTTTTCTACCTAAATATTTTTAAATTTTTAATTAATTATTTATAGATATTTTGAAAATTGTAGAGTGTATGTGTGTGTGTGTGTGTATTCTTTACTCATACAGTTTCTAAGTCATATGATAGTTTGAAATCCTTTCAAACTGCTATGTTATTTTAGCCTAGAAGCTTTTTTGTTTTTCTTTTACATGTTTTTTGGCTTTATTTTGTGCCTCATATAAAAAATCACGCAGCATATATAGTACAAATTAATTATTTGTTGGTAAATAAAAAATAAAATTTTAATATTTGGAATAAAAAAATATCATAAATTCATTCTTATCTAATTGCAGCGTGAGTCTCCCAAACCTTCCTCGCAATATTATTTCTAGCTCTCTCCCATTTAGATTTCACCTTAAAGTAAAAAATTTCAGTAATTACAATAAATGATCCAAATTAACATAAAAAATATTTAAGTTAATATAACCTTGAAAACAATGTATCGACGTGCGATTTCCATCCAGGATATTTGGAATCCTAGCTTTATTGAAACAATGAAATTTTCATCGACAATATAAAGGCCAATGTTATTCACTACAATATTTAACAGTTTTATTAACGGAATATTTCCAGTGTAACATTACCATTTTGTTAGTGTAAAATTTATCGATGAATTTCTCGACAGAACACGTCCATCATAATAACATTCATCAGTAATTCAATGATTTATCGCTAATTCTATTAATAAAAAAAATAAAAATTGATGATTTACAAATGAAAAATACGCACCAAAAAAATTTCCCACTGGAAATATGCCGACGGAATAATTTCATTGGTATAGTTCCATCGGTGATAGTGGTATAGGCAGTAATTTTTTCCAAACTCTCTAGAATATACTAATGAAATGAAACATACCGATGATATAATGCCGTCTGTAAATCCATAAGTTATAATTTAAAAATATTTTAAAAAATAAAATTATGTAGAATAAATAATATAAAATTGTATAGAATAATAGTAGAAAAACTAATTAAGCAAATAAAATTGAAAAATGTAAAAACAAAATTAAATGATATAAAATCTAAATATTCATTACAATTTTAATTGTACAAAACAAATTAAAATAGAATAGTGGCGGCGCTAAAAGAGGAGGAGGCTGGTCGTTTTCGGGACCATACGACCAAAAAAGAGGCGTACATGCCCATTTGTGATCTTATGTTCATGATCATCAGCGAAGTTGTTCATAATCTACCAAAAGTTGTTAATGTTGCTTAGTGAGATGAGTCGTGTGTTGTTTCAAGGCCATGATCTCTTTAGACTGGGTGCTCATTATTGATTGGGAGCTCTCGACGGTTGAGACACAACGGGCCGCCTACAAGTTCTCAGCCGTAGTGTTGGAGAGTCGGTACACTTGATTCTTATCGGAATCCACTAGATGATCTTACCTCCATCCATAAATCCGGATCAAAATCTAGGTGGGTTGAAGGATCGTTCTCGTATCTCTCTCTCAACCAGTTATTATATGTCCCCTGAAAATTAAAAAAGAAATCATCACATTCAATTCAAGAAAATAATAACTTATCAAATAAAATGATAAAAAAAACATACCACGAAGTGTTGATTACGGTTGTCAATGAATTATTGCACCCCTCTTTAGTAGTTTTCACTCCGTATATGTGTTTTTACAAACAACTTCATTGGGCTCAACTCACATCCAAGAGACGTAGTCTGTAAGAAAAAAAATATTGCGATTTAATTAACAATAGATTTTATTAAAATTAATCTTACTATTTGGTTTGCATGTGCAATAAATGAAATGGAGCTGCCAGTATGCGTGGTCATCGAACCATTTCCAGTTCTAGTTGTTGACACCGGACTGTGAGTGTCGTGTGAACCGCTCAGATGTCACATGTTGGATATATTACACCCATATATCCTCCGAGATGTATGGTAGTGTGAATTGCTCCAAACCGCCATGTCATTCCAACTTTATAGACCGTTATTTCTAGCGTATTTTTTGGCTTTTTCTACGTTTCATATCAAAAGCCACACAATCTACTTCCATTAATGACTTTTATATGAGTTAATGACATATTAGATTTTAAAATATAATTTTTTTTTAAAATATCATATTATTTTCGATGTTACCTAGTTGCTGCATGATTCTCCTACACTTTCCTCGTAACATTGTAATGAGTGCTATCCCACTTGAATTTATTCTTTGTATAAATAATTTATTAAAAATAAATCAATAATTTTAATATAACATAAAAAATAAATAAAATTTGAAGTTAACACTAACCTTAAATCTTCAAAACCATGCATCGATATAAGGTCTCCAATTTGGATGCCTAGAGACCTGACTCCATTGAAATAATAGAATCTCCATTGATGATTGAAATGCCGATATTATAACTCGAGCAGCCTCAATGTTTGTGAACTTGAAAATAAATAAAAATAATAAAATATTAATTAGTTGTTCATAAATTATGTTATAAGTAAAAAAAAAAACTAAAACCAAAACAAACTTATATTGAAAGGCCATCCTTTCAGTGTGTCTCATACTTGCAGGTGAATTGACCCCGCTATGAAGGTATAACGTCTCTGCACCGTGAAATCGCACTAGAAGAGGGTATACCGCCTCTGCACCGTGAAATCGCACTAGAAGAGGCAGTGTCATGAGTCACCACAAGTGCCTGTTTTTGGTCAACACTTAAGGATACGTAATTCTCACTGCTAAAAGAACTAGCTATGACCATATGTTCACTACATATTGTTGATTTAGTTATACTCTTTTACACAAATTTGATGAATAATTACATAATCAAATTTGATTATTTAAAAAAAAAATCAGCAACAACTTCCCTATACTGGAGAGTACCCAAATTTTTTTAAACTTGTAAATATTAACAATATATATATATCATAGACTAGTTGATTTTATTTTATTTGTACTCAAAATTTCTTTTTTTTTTCAATTTCATCTCATTTTTAAAATGATAATAAAATATTTTTTTGACATAACCAAAATATTGATATCTTCTCTTAAATATAGGAGTGTCGAAGTAATAAACAACCTGGAAAGACTGGGGTCGAACCACAAAGAGGTTAACTATATAATAATAATAATAATAATATGTTAAAAACATAAATAAACAATATAAGAACATATATAAGATAAAAGTTAACTATATAAAGGAAAGGAAATAAGAAGTATAAACAAGATACTAATGAAAACAAAACTTAAGCATTATAAAAAATATAAAGAAAAAGAGCAAGAACATGATCTTGATTTGAAAATCAATATGCCTAAATGCATGACAAATACCTCCTTTTATAGGCCAAAATTTGAAACTATGAATGTGATGACTAATTGTTGAGTGGGTGACCAACTCTTGACTTGGTGACAATCTTTATCTTCTTATCTGAACAAAATGTCATTGTTAACATCAGAATTTGAACAAACTTGAACATGAAAGTTCTAGAAAATTATCTCAGCTTTTCAACAAAAAAAATTGAGGTAATTTGGACTTCTAGAACTCAAGATATGGACTGAACAATGAACAGTGTATGGGCTACAAGACAGATTCAAACTTCTCCGTTATTGCTAATATTTAGACTTCCAAACACATAATTGAGTTTTTTATTCCTCATGAATGTTTTAGGCCTATATCTTAGCTTTCCATCCACATAAAGCAGACTTAAATCTAGTTCTACAGCTCCAGATATGACCCAATGATTGAATAGTGTTCTAGTTTGGACTGAACTAATATCTCTTTTCTAAGCTTCACCCTTTCTTTGTCTACTCAATTTTAGTAGTTAAACTCATCAATCAATCATTTGATTTATGTGATAGGCTTGCATTTAAGATGAACATTTATCATAAATTAAAGGTATCTTATAGTATCAAACTTATTATTATAAAACATGCTTTAGTTAAGAAGTTATTAATACTTCAAGTGCAAAATACTGATATAAAACCTTGATAAAAATATGATTTTAAGTCCTAATCATTTCTAACCATAAAATAGAGAAACAAAATAAAATTTAGTTTTATATATTCAACTAACATCTATACAAATTTAACAATAACAATTAAAATTCATGGAAATAATCAAATACTTTATTATGCAATATATACAATAAAGTTGAGATAAACAATTAAATTTAATCCTATATATTTAATTAGTATTTATACAGCAAATTCAACAATAACAATTAAAATTCAATAGAATAATCAATTATTATTACAATAAAAAAATAAAATAGACAACAAATTAAAAAAAAAACTAAAGACTTTGGGAATGAAAAATGCTGACCTTAATAATGTGTTTATTTTTAGACTTTATCTACGTATAATAAAATAAAATTAAATAAAAATATATTATTAATAAAACAAAGAAAAGATAAAAAAATAGAAAATTATTAAGTATATTGAAACA